TTATTGACCAAAACTCATCCAAAAATTCCAAGAAAATCGGGAGGGACTCCTAGAAAAGCGATTGCTGAGAAGAAAAGTATTTGGAAGAGNGTTTTCGGCAAGGCTCTGAAACAAGTCACGTATGATACTGGTTACGTAGGAAGGGACGTTTACAGTGAAACGGCTCGAGTTGGCCATTTTTCATTACCGTAATCATCGCAATACTGTAAGCCGCAGAAACTAGTTATAAGACCTTTCCGAAACGCCAGTTTATAGTCAGAACTATCGCCATGTATAATTAAGGGTGATGACATATGAACAGAGCCTTCCTCTTCAAACGCTCAAACCCACAATTATACTTCCCGACAGCGTTCTCATCCATTCATGCAAGGAGAACCCCTTGATTTTCGATGAAATCAATGATGCCCGGAAGGAATGATCATTTACGCTATTCACGAGCAGATGAAAAAAGTTGAACATGATGATCGTGAGAGTCAGTGTGAAAAAAAATTGCGCAGTGATTTCGATTTCAACATTTTATGGGTCAGTGACGACTATCAATCGAAATCGATGCACTGACTGGGAAGCACCCCAATTCGATCGTCTATCACACAGGAAATCCCGTTGACAGGATAATATTCTTCCGTAAAATCGAACGATATAAACAACAAAAAAGCGGTAAGCATTCAATCTGACTATAAAATTTGTAAAGGCCCCATAACTGTTTCGTTCTAAGACCTTTATAAATACCCACAGGCTATGCTAGAGCTAATAAGCTGAGGTCTAGAATCGTTTGATTGGTATGAATCTCAACTTTTTCAGGTTTCCAGGCTCTGCCGAATGCGATATGGCCGAAGTGTTAACCGAATAAAAGGCATAACATTTCGGCCGAAGTTCTGCTAGAAAACCTGATCTTATCGCTTCCCTTACAAGAAAAAAATTCATTATTGACCAAAACTCATCCAAAAATTCCAAGAAAATCAGGAGGGACTCCAAGAAAAGCGATTGCTGAGAAGAAAAGTATTTGGAAGAGCCAAGAATGAGAATGAAGTAGCCAAAGAATCATGGAACAGGTCACAGTTGCGAGGTTCCAAGATACGTGCTGTATTTTCGACCGCAGCACCCTCTATTCTCANAGAAAAGCGATTGCTGAGAAGAAAAGTATTTGGAAGAGCCAAGAATGATAATGAAGTAGCCGGAGAAACATGGAACAGGTCACATTTGCGAGGTTCCAAGATACGTGCTGTATTTTCGACCGCAGCACCCTCTATTCTCAAAAAATTGTAACAAATCACAGCCAAGTAAAGCTTTCCAATCCAAGGATACTCCCATTAGATACTCTCATATAGCCAGAATCAACGGGTTTCCTTTAAAAAGGCGGTTTTGGGAATCCTTTTCAACTCTCGAATCGGTAGAAGAGGTAGACATGGTTAAGGGATCAATTCCCGAACCGCTATTCATCCTATTTGTCCAGGTCTTCTCAGTCTTCCAAAGTCGGACAGCTGGTACCAAGGTTGCTTTAGAGGAAAAGAACTGGCTTGCCCAACAGTCGCTCCCACTATACATTGTATTAGCTAAATACGCATATTAATGTCTGCGATAACGAAAGGTGCAGGGCGCATTTCAAATCGAGATTGATCAACAACGAAACAATCTACTACTTTCCACCCAACAGGACGTTCAAAGATCAGATGAAACTCCAGAACAACCAAGAAAACAGGTATTTTTTGCCGGAAAAATAGGGTGGAGTGGGAGACCTCTCAAAGGCCAGCGACTACAGAAGGGACTCGTGGTCGCCTAATGAAATCGAAGCTTGGTTGGTATCACTTCTGAGAGAGCAACTATTGGGTACAGAATTTCTGAAGGATCTCTGGGAATTTCATTCCGTTGAATCTAGCTTATCTGACTTTCCCACTTATTGACGTCTTTCAGAAACCTGTGAATTCTATTGTCACGGTTCTCTCACTGGTCAGCGATCACCTTTCGTCTGACGGGCCTGACCTAGCGTGGTAGCGCAACTTTGCGCTCTCTTAACACCGATAACGATAATTCAATCGAAACACCGAGCGAAAAAGATCGATCCATAAAGAACTTTGTTACGGAGTTGTAAAGATCTCATTGAAACTTCGGGATCGATGCTGGAAATCGACGGATTCCACGGCTATTTACAGGATGATCTCCTCACAAATCACCAATTTCTATTCGGAAATTGGGAGTTGAGGAAAACTGCATATAG